CCTGCTGTCGACCCGCATACCTGCCAGAAATGTAGCGCTGTCCCGCATGCCAGCCTGATGTTCAGCCTTGGCCCAGCACAGTGCCACCCAGCCGCCCCGCGCCGCACCCCCTCAGCGCTCCCCTGCCGCCTTCCCCTCCCGCTGCCGCAGCCGTCAACAGCTTCCTCATCGCTCCCACCAGCGACCCCTGGCAGTGCTGCCTGGTGCTGCAGCTCAACGCCAACGTGCAGGCGCAGCTGTGCCTCGCACCCACGCAGAACGTGCAGCAGGTGGGGGAAGGCCGGGGTGGGGAGGAAGGGCCTGGCAGCTGGGTGCAAGACGTTGTGGAGTGACGTGGCGCCGCTAGTTGTGCAGAGCCCATTCAGCAGCCTGGCCAGCTGTAGCACCTCCCTGGCCCGCTGAGCAGGACCGCGCTCCCCACCACTCGTACCGCAGGCCTTCCAGGACTCTGCCATCACCCAGGCAGCTTCCTACCAGTTTCCACAGTGCGGGTACCAGGATCCTCTGGGGCAGTACGGGACCGGCGGCCTGCAGTCCATGCTGGGATGGGATGTGTCGGTGGGAGCCAGCCTGTGCCTGCAGGTGGGCCGGGGTGGTTGTTTAGGGTTTTGCGGTTTAGGGTGTGATTGAGGCGGGATGCTGGAGCGCCGCCCGCCCGCCTCTGCATACCGCTGCTCTGTGCCTGCCAGCACACTGCCGCGGCCGCCGCTGCATCTGGCTGTGCCGGACCAGCATCATGCACAGAGTCCGGCCGCCGACCGGCCAGCCAGGCCGGCCGCTGCCCACCACCACTACCTGCCTTTTCGTCAATTAACGCTGTTTGCATGTGCCCGCTGTCCACGAACAGGCAGCCCTCCAATCATGTTGAAACCGCTATAATGGCCTGCCTCCCCCTGTGTCGCTGCAGGGCGGCGCCGCGGTGCAGGGGCTGGCCCCGCTGGCTCCCTGGTTTGGCGGCCGGGTGGTCGCCAACAGCTCCGCCTTCTGCGCCTCCGGCTTCGGCCTCTCCTATGAGCCCCTGCAGGCACGCGCCCGCCGCAGCTGCCGCCGCAGCCGCCGCTGCTGCCTGCCGCTGGACTGCGGCTGTCCCGCTGCTCGCTGCCGCTGACTGACCGATTACGCTCGTTGTAGCAAATGCATGCTGCTGCACTGCGGCCGTCCCCCTGCCAGGCGATGCCATGCTGGCTGCCTGGCAGTCGCCACGGGCCCCCCGGCCGATGCCAGGCGCAACAGTCTGCCAATCCTCCTGCCCTTCGTCACCCCCCTTCGCTATCACCTTTCCCGCTGCTCACGTCCTGCCCTCCCTCTCCCTCCTCCCACCTCCCATTAGGCCTACGGCGACACGGGCCTGTACGTGGGGGGAGCGGCCAGCTCAGGCGTGGACATGACCACCAACGGATACATGGCGGTGGGTTGGCTGCTTTTGCTTTTGCTTTTCGTTTTACAGCCTGCATATCCGCAAAGGAACTTGCAACACAGGCCCCCAGGTGGCGGAGTGCATGGGAGGGGCGTGTGCGGTGGCTGTGCCTGCCAGTTTGTGTGCCGGCATGCGCCTGCCAGGCTGCATGGTGCATGGCTGAATGGCTGGTGGCGGGTGGCCTGGCAAGTCGGTGTGTGCATTTGCCTGCCCGGCTGCTGGCGTGCGATCGAGGGGGCGGGCGGCGAGTGTGTAGAGTAGAAAGGAGCGCTGCCGCCGGGCGCTCGGCCACCTCTGCTGCCGTCCCCGGTTGCATGTGCTCCCCCGGCCTTGTGCCTGTGTTGCATGTGCCTTTTGCAGGCGCCGCGCCTGCCAGCCCACCTCCTCCCACCCTCCCCCAGCTCCCCCCATGGGAGCGGTACTGCTCCCTCTGCCGCCTGTCGCGCTCCTCACTCCCACGCCATCCTCCCCTCACCTCCTTCTTCACTCCCCTCCACCTACACTCTCCCGGCCGCGCTCCTCCTCCACCTCCCCTCGCCTCCTCCCGCTCTGCCCTCCACCTCCACCCTCCGCTCCTGCGCTCCCCTCCACCTCCCCTGATCCCTCCCTCCCCCTCGCCTCCCGCCCCCCGCAGCTCAAGTTTTTGGACGTGCCCTCCACCCAGGCCTGCACCTCCGCAGCCAAGAGCGAGGCGCTGAACGAGGTGGTCAAGTGCGAGCCGGAGTGCCTCCTGGGCTCCTTCACATGGCAGGCGCGCTGGGGGTGGCGGCGTGATGGTGGGGGTGGGGAGGGTATGCGCGAGCATGTCGGGGCCGGGGCGTGGCGGGCGCGGGTGGGTCCGCAGGGAGCCCGCTGGGCTCCCACCACCCCACGGCGGGTGGGTCGCCCGCTGTGCGGGTCCGGGTGGGGTGTTGCGGGCGGGGCCGCGGGCGTGTGTGTTGCCGGGCGTGGCAGATGCAGCCGAGTCCGCAGGCGCAAGCAAGCCCCTGCCTCCCCTCTGCTGTACGCCTCCCCCACCCGTGCACCCTCTTCGCCCTCCTCACTCCCTCCCTCTGCCCCACCCCGCCTGCCTGCCTGCCTGTTTCTCCGCCTGCAGGGCCTCACCTGGTCGGCCTCTGCCGGTTCAGACATCTTTGGCTGGACAGACGGCTACCCAATCATCTCCAACACTCAGTTCTACGAGCCCACCTGCGGATCAAATAATTTCTTTGATCCCGCATCCAAACCCCCGCCCTGCCCGCCACCGCCGCCCT